TCCTTCTCTCCCTCTCTGTTTCTCTCCGTTCCGCCACGGTTGATTGAATCGTGCGGAGAGGAAGGAGAAATATAAAAGGAACGGATATATCAAAATAAAAGCTCAGTTGAATACACGATAAGATAAGCGTTCATCGTTACAATATGCATCCAATTTTATGATCTACTAGCGTAGGTATCCGATGTTGGTCACAAAAATATCATATTTTATGCCTAATATATTGGAAAACGATGTTCTTATGATCTTCTATAAGATATCGACTTCGGATGGCGTAAAGTGTGCTCGGATTTCACTTCCTGGCCATATATTTTATGTTTTGGCATTTTGGTATTAGCACTATGAAAAATCCTTTGAATGAACATTTTGAATCGGTATATGCGTAGGATCAATCTTTTCCGGTCCCGATTTCTGCCAAAGAAAGATTTAAGTGTTGGTTACATCTCTATCTTTCTCCTAATCTTGTCTTGAATCTATCCTGGTTCTAGTCCTACTTCACTTTCATCTCAGTCTTGGATGTGGGTGTGAGTGCGTGAGTGGGTGTGGGTGTGAGTGTGGGTGTGGGTGTGGGTGTGGGTGTGGGTGTGGGTGTGGGTGTGAGTCTTGTTTTCACCCACACCCACACCCACCCTTACTGCATAGCTTCGACGTCTGTGTTAATCTTGAAGAAGTCATTTGAATTGCAACTCTGACTAGACAAAATAATGTCGATGACATATTAGATGTCTGTTGATATGCATTGAATAATTAACAATACTTTTTGAAATATTATCATTTTAGAACGCTTTGAATTGCCAAACATCAAACGAATGCCATGGTTTCGCATAATGTCATAGAATAAGTAGTACTAACAACGTATGGCTCAGATAAACGTTGTTAATCTTTCTTCTGCAATTCTAATATCTTTGGTCAATATAAAGTATAGACATTATATTATATTTTGAAATATAACTGTATAACTTTTTTATTAATTTATCTGGCATGATAATCGAAGCATATTTATGAGACAATGTTCGAGTAGAAGACTTTCAAGAGTTCGGGTCTTGAAGCTTGAAAAATTTGTGAAGCGTCTATTTTAAAGTGCGTTGTATTTTCTCTGGCTTCAACTTCGCTGAAAGAATTTTTCGTTGATGACAACATTCGCTAATGCCGATTTCTTCGAATAAATCATAATCGAAAACTATTTGATCAAATATAATTCATTCTGTATCATGTGTTACTATAAATTAACTAATGTATTGCCAAAGCAATTAATTATCAGGGAGTTAGTAACTAACGAGCTTGGTAACCAACTGAATCAGTGAAGATGTGAGTTGGTGACTAACTCAGTTGTTAGCAACGTCAGATGACAGTCAACCTAGATGGTTGCTAACAGAGATCACAAGAAGTACAGACGCGGGTGTCAATAGAATGTAATTGTAGGTATGAGTGGAAGTGAGATACGAGTTCATGTAAGCTCTGGATTTTCAGTTCGTTTGTACTACACCCACACTCAGATAGTGATTGACTCTTTCAGTAGTAGACTAATTAAATATCATCAAAATTTACACATAAAAGGGGTTTCATTTAGGAATGCACCAGTTCCAGTTTTAAAGTGGTAGACAAGTTCCAGTCCGTAGTTAGAACTGAAACTTGTGCATTTCACCAAAAAGACAATAATGCGTAAAATTGTGAGCACTAACCATGTGAACATGTGCAAGGTTGAAACTCGTAAGCGAAATATAGTTTTCAACAATTACCAGGTTTGTAATTGCAATGAGTTGATGCAATAAAAGGGATTTAGAAAAAAGTACAATACTGGTAAATTATCTATACTACAAAAGAGTGTGAGTGTAGAGAAAGGGGGTGAGGGTGGGATATGAATATTAGTGGATCTAGGTATGCCTAAACAACTGATCTGCTCATACTCCTACATCCACACTCACACTCTATATTCACAACCACTCTACACCCCGTAGTCACAGTCAAATTCACACCCACCACACCATACAGCCAAATTCATATTCGCCACACGCTATACACTCGTGCCGACACCCAGAAAAAAAAACAGGTAACTCTTGAAGCCAATCGTCGAATTTCCAGAGGATCTACTGTTTTTGCTTTTTTCTCAGCGTGTTTTAAGCTTTGCTGATTAAACATACATTTCCTTTAACTGCAAAAACATCTGCAAAAAAAAGCCTAACTATAAAGATAAGATAATAATATTTTATTGCCATATCTCTTTCGTCAGTGATAAATTTTATCGTTGTTTTCTTCAAGCTCGCCTCTTCAATGATAAAGTAATCTATATAAGGAGATGACTTCTGCTGCATTTTCGGCGATTTTTCACTTTTATAACATTTCAATTCAACGGCTATACGTACTCAAGTCTAAAACGCAACAACAGGTAAGGAATCAATCAGAAAAGAGGAAATCAAGAATCTGTGTATCAGGGGCATCTGGATGTATGTAGATATAGGAGTGACGACCTCAATGTTGATGACAGTGAAGGGAACACTCGTAATCGCAACCCGGCACCGATCCCACAGTCACACTCAGACATCCAAAAGCACAACACAACCATGGGTGTGGATGCTAGTCTTGACTTAACATACACCAGCACTCAGATCCTCATAGCCACAGCCACACCCGATGAGAACGAGACTTGATATCTCTTTTTCAACCACTCATCCCAATCTACAAAGTTGTCAAAAACTCCTCATAGTTTTTGAATAGATAGACGAATACCAGTTGGTCATTCTATAGAAGTCAAACTGTATTTTAACATGGTTTTTAAATATTTAAAAGAACGAAAAATTGCGTTCAAATTGAAATATACTGTATGTTTAAGTTTCAATCTTGCTGTCCATGATATACTTGTAACGAGAATTTTTGTTTTTATTGTTCTGTTTCAGAGTAACAGTACTCGAATCAATGCTAGTAATTTATCAGAAATATGAAGCCAATATGCTGCGTATTCAGATATCCATATCTATTACAATATCTTCATATTCTGTATATCTTCATTTGTCTATAGTGAGAGATATATCCCTGAGAATTTTAGACAGGCATCAATAACTATCGACCAAAGTTTTCGAGCATCTGTGGAGTTCATTTGAGTACCCTTCAGCGAATCATAACTAACACAGTGTGATTTAGGGATTTTAGCGTACATCGATACTCACAATAAAATTGTTTTAGTTCTACAATAGCACAGTCAGTTTCAATCGAATCCGGATCATATATAGTCAGGGTATGGAATTACGAAAGCGGAAATTTTCGACTCATAAATTTTTTACCTTCATAGGTTATCCAGTTCGTAGTGGAACAGAATCGCTCATATCATTACTCTGCTGTACCCAGTCGAATAACGACACGGCGTTATAAGCATCATATATGATTCATACAATTGAAAATGCAGTGAACGAACAGAATGAAGAAAAAGATGACCTTCGTGGGACTCGAGCCCACATCCTCTGCTATCCGAGCAAATATTCTAAGCCAATTAAATCAGAAAGTGTATCTTAATCTTGGTTTAACATCGCAGTGTATAATCATTGACCCTAACAGGTTTTTGTTGCTGATCTAGATTTATTGGCTGGAATGTGAGTGTGAGTAAGAGTTAAGAGAAGAGCCATATCGACACTGCTTCGTTCAAGAAAAAACATAAGGGAGATAAAAAATAAAAAGTGAGTGATATATTTGTTTACTTTAAATGGCTCGAGAGAGAAAAACTACACTACTGTAGTGAATATATTGACTGCTGAGTTAATTTTGTGGAACTCACATCTTTTTCGAAGAAAATGGTGAGTGTAAGTTTAAGAGCAAGTTTTTGTGGTTCCCACTCCTGCTAGACCCCTCTCCATTACAGACATACTCCCATTACAGATTGTAGCAATGGAGAATAACAGGCATCACATTTTCTAGTTTTTTTGCAAAATTGATCAAGTTATAATTTTGAAAAGTAATAAATATTACTATTTGTGAGTGGATTAATATAAATAATAATGCTTGAGACCTGCTGTAGATATTATGAATATGTAAAACAGACATATTTGTCAATTAATTCAATGATTATAATAATAAGAATGTTAAATTAAGAAAAAAAAATTTTTTTAATGAAAATTCTTTTCGAAATGCAGAAATTAGAGAAATTATTACTCTGAATATCAATTATCCTGCAAGCACCTATAATCTACGAGAGATTTGTCACTTTATGTGTTATGTATTAGTTTAATTAGGCTAGATAGTATATATGAGTTCTATATTTCAGCCTCAAAGGAGCTGCGCTAACAAGCTTTTTTATGAAATAAAAGTAACAAAAATGGCTTTGATGGAGCCAGGAATTTTGATATTCATCTTGTTACAGACATATTGTCATTTTCAGGCATTAACACAGGACTTTTTGTCACTTTCGGTCGCTTGGGTTCAAATTTCAGACATTTTGAAACTCGGGAACGCGATACTAACACTTTGATCAGACTATAGATAATGCTATAAGAATATTTAGCTGGGCAAAGCGAGTACGGAGAATGTTGATGATATCATGTGGATATAAAGCATATTTTTAACGTGCTCAGAATATGCAATTTCCGTAGGGACTACTGAATATGGGAATCTACATTTTCAACTCTTGAAGAATAACTGTTCGTTTCATTTCGCTCCTTAACGTGCTGCCAAAAAATCATTTTCCATATCTAGTACTTCTAATATCCTATGCTCAGTGCAACTCATCCTTTCAGTAGAAGGCTAGCAGCGTTTGCGCTGCGTTACTTGTTATATTCAACGGCTACTACCAAAAATAAAACTCCATCACATGCATCAAATGTTTATTTATTCAAAAATGGTTATGGAATGATTGTTAAAACATTTGAATTCCCTTCAAGTAAAGGTCATGATAGCAAATCTGTAGAACTTCTGGATCCACTATCAAATCCTGTACATGGAACATTTTGGATACAATCATTATCAGATAAAAGTATGTCATTTTGTCACATATATTTATAATATTATGTGTTTATTTAGCTTCAATTGGTTCTATTCGTACAAAAAAAACACATAAATTTGTTGATAAAGAATGTTGGACTGTAGAAGATTTACTTGAAGCTAATGTCGGACAAGATGTTCAATTACTTGTAACAGACAATACATCTAACAGTACGGCAGAATGGATATCTGGCAAAATTAAATCTGTAAAATGCATGCAGCGTGTATCCGATGATGACGATACAAACGATGACAATATTGAAGGAACAAGTACTGGAGTCAGTCCAAATTTTCGTGAGTAATTTCTGTTGGAAAAGTCATTTAAGAGATAATAATTCTATTGTCATGTAAACATCTAATCAGTAATCTTTCATCTACTATAATATTCTAATTATCATACAAAGATTTGAGAAGTTAAAGAAATCTTTTTGTTTGCTTAAAATTCTGAAGCAGGACTCCTTGTATCTCAATGCTCTATATTACATTTCGAAAGAAATGAAAAATACACGAAGCGTATGTAATAAATATTTTCAATTATAGTTGCATCAAGATCAATAACATTTAACCAATAGGTTTTTATCACTGACATAATCATCGGAGATTCTGTATTTGTAATATAACTAGTTTAAATTTTGAGTTTAACATATATCATCGTCTCTTATTAGTTGATGTAAAGCTTTATATATAGATGTATTAGAATATATAATGACTCCCTCAGGAATTTTTGATGAAATTGAACAAATCCGTAAGAAGTTATTGACAATGAGATACTTTTCTAATAAAATGATGCTAAAGTTTGATTATAATTGACCAAGAACAATTATTATAATTCAGAAAATTGATGTAGGATAGTAGTTGTGCAATAATCTATGATATGAAGAATATTTAGTTCCACATTTATGTGTTTTTTTTTAGAAATTATTTCACTTCGATTTTATTATCATTGCTGTTAGATGTGAAAAGATTTCTTTAGTATTATTTTTCGGCTTATAGTTCTCATATGTGTTTGAAAATATGACAAAACTAAACAAAAGTTAAGATTTTAATTGAATTCATGTCATTTCTTGTATACATAAGAGATTTAGCTTGTTCGGAGCGTGTATAACCAAATTCTTTGACGGTCTTTCCTATTGCCAACAATAAGCTAGATAATTTTATTAAATTTCATTTTTTAATTTTACTATTCGTCTTTCTTTTTCTCATGAAGAAAGTGAATGAGACAATTGATCATGTAGTAAAAGCAAATAAGGAGTGAGTTGAGAGTTTCTTTTCCAAATATTTGATTATTTTTCATGTATTTAAATACATTGAAAAAAAGTTAGAAGTAGTGTAATAGCATTAGAATTTTGTGGTCTTGCAGAATATACGCTTAGAATTTTATTATGACTATTGAACTATAAGTGAATCTTGAAAAGACTCGACAAATATTTTTTTTTGAAGGAAAAAACCCTGAATGGATCTTATTCTAGACATGCCAAAAAGTTTTATCGAATATTTTGCATGATACAGAAAATAATATTCTACAGAGTAGTGATTTTTTTGCAAACTGTTGAAGTGCAGTAAAGGTTTTTATAAAGTCTATCGCAAGAAAAACGGCTACTTTTTTATTTTCACTTTTTCAGCAGAAAATGACCCTCTGTTACTATTCTGCCATTTTTTATCGAATTAACTAAAACTCTTCATTCTTGTCTCATTTTGTAGAGTAGAGATCAGCATCAAGTACTATATATCTACAGAAATTATTTGGAGTCTATAGAAAGTAGACTTGTCTTCAGAAAAATAGAATTTTTGCCTCTACAGAAAAGTTTCTTTGTGTCCTGTCAAGATTTATTCCTAGCTCAATAGTTAAAAGTCATAGAAAGAGCATAAAATTTTGATTCTAATATATCAATTCTCACTTAATCCAATGCATTTCAATACGCGACAAATAGTCGCATATAGTTGTCGAATAACTTTTGGGTTTTCATCATCATAGTTGAATTTGATGGAATGTTCTGATTTTCGTTATAAAATAAAATGAAATTGATTTGTTTGATATAGCTCCATCAGTACACGCTGCTTCTTTATCATCTATTCAACCAACAGGTTCTACTCGGTTGCCACATGTTCAATTAGGCAATTTAGTTTTGTTTGAAGGGCCCCCCCCCCCTTAGAAAATCGAATTTTTCAAGGGAATATCGAAGTTGAGTTTTTATCACAGGAAGATGCGGCGAAGCTTCCTCTTTCAGAATATATATAGCTTTTTGGAAAATGACCGGATTTTCAAAGACTTATCATATAAAACTTTGACTCTACTAACATAATTTCGGAGAAATTTTCAGGTGTTTCAGTTTTGAAAAAACTGCGTTGTCACTTGCATTAGCATTGAGTAGAACACTTTTATATTACCCAACATGTCAGATGGCGTTAGTTACCTTCATCTCTTACGTAGTCTAAAACGATCCACGGGAATGAATTAATAATATACCATTGTAATATGATTTTTTCTGGATTTGAATGAAAAAATCCAGTTCTAAAATTTCTTTAGCGTTTTTCTCAAAATACGGTTTCCAGACAGAAAAATTGAAATAACTCCATCCTGTCTCAAGCTATAACCAATCATTTTTTTTTGTTTTAAAGGTCTTGATTAGAGCTAACTTTTCATCGGACGGATTTTTGATATTGAACCCCAAGGCTGAGAAAAGTGGAATTTACTGTCGTCGAACCACACTTTTTTATGCTTATTTTGCAGACATGCCCACAAAATCGCTCGTAAAAAATGAATGGAAGGGACTTTCAAAATTCCGTCCGATGAAAAGTTGCATACAGAGGCTAGCTACAATTTGAAATTAATCCGAGCTCTGTATCCCTTCTCTGGACGGAGTTATTTCGATTCTTCTGAAAGGTAGGAAAACCAATCAAAACTGCGATTTAGTCGGACATGTGAAGCTGAAATTTTTATCATAAGCGTTTCTCACTAAGACCAATCATCCCTGAAAATTTCAGCCCAAACGAAGGATCCCAAGTGGGACTTCATTTCTAAGGGGGGGGGGGGGCCCTTGAAACAACTGATAATGGTCTGTTAGCATTACCTCTATCTAATGTGCAATCGATTAGAGGTACATCACTTAAGACAACATATCAACGTAAAGTCTTCAAAAATTGTCTATCAATTGAATATAAAAATGAATCAGAATCTAGTGATACAGGTCTAATGAAATATCTTACATTTGGTATTACATGGGCACCTTCATACAAGTAAAATTAACAAAAGATAATCAACTTTTCATTTAATCTATATTTCTCTTTTTATTTTAGTTTAGTACTTTTATCATCAGAAGATCCTTCTATAAAAAGACTTTGTCTTTCATCAAAAGCTGTTATTTTAAATGATATTGAAAATATGAATGTTGATAACTTATTTTGTATTGTTGGATTTTCAAATGTATCAAAATTTGCTTCAGTTATTGATCCTATAATTAGTGGAGAAGATGTCAAAGCATTTCTTGATGGATTAAAACAATGTGAAGTCGAAAGCACAAGGTCTCGTTATTATAATCCTGCAAGTTTCACATCAAATTCTATTATGATGCAACAAACGGTTAGCGCAATGCCGTCACATGAGAATAATGATCCTAGTGATAGTCAACCAGATACGGGTGTTGATGATCTTCATTTATATGAATTTAAAAATGTTTTATTACAAAAGAAAGAACGTCTTATGTTACCAATCTTCGACATTGAAATACCTTATAAGGATGTTTATCATTGTAAAATTGATACATCACAATCGGAATATACATATTACGAACATGGCGAGAAAAAAGATTTCGAAGAGGTATTATTTAATTTAATTTTAATTATTACTAACGAATATTTTCTTAGGTATGGCATAGTGTTGAATTTGAAAATATATCAAATTTTATTTGGACAACAGCACCAATTGTTATAACGAAAGGTCAATTAGAACAACAATTTATTGGTCAAGATAAATTAACATATACATTAAAAGAATCAACAACTTTTGTTAATTTAACTCAAGCTCTTGATGTTCGAGTACATTTAGATGAAAAAGTATTGAGTACAAATCCAACACATTTTACTCTTTTTCGTGTTCATTATCAAACAGATCAAATTGAGGGAAAAATATTAATAAGAAATCATAAATCGGAAGAAGTTGTTGTTGTTATTACTGCAATACTAGTGGGAAAAATGGGTAATTATTCAATAGCACCAAAAAAAGATGCAGTTAAAGCTGATAACAAAGGAGCTAATCCACGACATGAAATACAATGGGAAATTAATGTTAAACCGAAACAAACACTCGAAATTAAATATGTTAGATCATATAATAAAAGAGTATAATTTTTTTAAAGAAATTTTATGACGCCAATAAATAAATAAATAAATAAATAGATATTTGTAATTTGAACGTCCTTTTTTCTCAAAAAAAAATGATTATTAGAACATGATGTCAAAGACGGCATTTTTTTCCTTATGTAGTTCTTGTAGATTGTTTATGTCTCCCATGTTCAGTTTTTTTTGGTCGATCAATTCCAACTGATTTTGAGACCTGTATTTTGCACAAGACAAACTCTAAGAATAGATTCAGAACGAGCGTGTAAAACTGGAAATATTTCTCATGAAGAATCGCCAGGAGTTCGGTAATTCTTAATACTGGAAATATTCTAAACTCCGATTGGGAATTCCAGGAATTGGTAGATTTTGGTTCAACTTCCCTTACAAAACACACTCAATATGGAGAATGATCGGACTCCTGGCGATTCTTTATCCCAGATATATTCAGTTTTGAACGTTCATTCCAAATCTATTGTTAGGTTGTATCTGATGCAAAACACAGGTCTCAAAATCAGTTGGAATAGGTCGGAAAAAAATCAAAAAATAAGAATTTTTGACCAATTTCAAAACCTTTGTTTTCTACTTTATATATTTCGACTACACCTTCGAATAGAGCAAAAACAAACCTATCATGGTTGATATAAACAATCCAAAGAGAGTACATTCTTAATAAGGAAAAAAAATGTCATCTTTGATATCATGTTCTAGAAATTGGTGCTTTTCTATTACAGAAAAAATAGAACGTCGCAAATTCTAGTTTTTTTCTAGTTCAAAAAAAACCTCCATGATTAATCTCTCTTCATGTTAGCAAGATATGTTGTTTAGTTTTATGTTTTACGAGAAGCCTTTTAACACTTGGAGTTATGCCCATTTTACCGGATTCTCAGCATGTTGTCGGAAATTACGAAAACTATTGCAATAAAGAGTTTCGATCTGAATATTGTTCTCAATAACAAATCGCATGATACTTACTATATCCTGAAAGTTTCATGTCAAGCAGATGGTTCTTCTCCGAGGTCACATGCTTTGAAAAAAAAAACATTACTTTCTCAAAAAAGAATTGAATTTCAGACAGAAGTGCTTTATTGTATTTTTTTTTGTAATACCCTGCAGTGCTGTAAAATGATCATAACTCTAGAAGAACGGTCTAAAGCAATGAACCCTTTTAGTGTTTTCCGCTAAACTATAATTGCTACTTATGAGCGAAAAATCACTTAAACAGAGAGTATCAATTGGAGAAATTCCTTTGTTAGCGGACTCCTTATGTTTTATGAAAATTCATCCATCCTCTTAAATAATAATCTAACGTTAATTGGATGCAGTAAAACTTCAAATACTGGTGCACATGAATTTTATCCAAAATTAAAAACAACTGTCATCGTGTAGAATAAACATTGACCCAATTAAAATTTTATATTCGTATGGAATCGGATTCGAATACTCTTCAAACAGTTTAAATAGATGCAAGATTTTTTAACTATATATGTGAATAAGAAATAAGATTTGAAAGTGTCGACACATTCAGAAAATGAGAACATCTTAGACTATGTTATAATTTACATGTTGCAGGGAGTATGTTTCAGAATTCTTTCTGTATGTCAGTACTATAGTAAAACATCGATTCTATTCCAATTCAAACAAAAAGCTTTTAGTTCATACTAAAACTATTGTTTTTCATAGAAGATTTCGAATAATACGCCAATTCGTTTATTGAAAAAGATTTTGTTTCATAAATATCATCTAAATAAAAATTGACTTTCATTATTCTTCTAATCGTACACAAGTTTCATGTTTAAGACTTTTTTCAAACTTATCTTTCGATTTCTATTTTTCAAAAATGGTGCGGGTGTGTGAGTGTTGGTGTGGGTGGGTGTGGGGTGTAGGTGGGTGTGGATGTGGGGTGTGGGTGTGGATGGGTGTGGGGTGTGGATGGGTGTGGGTGGGTGTACATATTGTCTTCTTCCATACCCACACCCACACCCACCCTTCTGATGGTTGCCATGAAAAGGTATCCATTGTTCTATGAAAATCCTCCATTGCCAGGCAAAACGCGCCTATAAACCTGAAACAGGTTTGTCTAACGGTAATAGAAGGACAGAGATGGTTTGTTATTCTCCATTTTTGTTTGCACTGTAAGACATATGCGATACATTTTATCTTATTGTTAGTATGTTATGGCGTTCTTTATCAGCACTTAGATATTATTCAACAGAGTATCATAACAATGGAAGAAGTATCATTAGAAAATGTTATTAGACGATGTGGTGATTTCAATAGGTTTCAATTAATTCATTATATCTTTTTAAGTTTTCTCACCCTCAGTAGTGGTATTAATGGATTTTATTATGTATTTGGTCTTGCTGAACCTGATTTCTATTGTCGACTCTCTTCGAATGTATGGCCTAATAATGATAAATTTCATTTTGGCAATATTAGTCATAGTCTTTTATTTGATTGATTTCAGTATTCAACATCGAAATGTGAAGATATAAATGGTAGTACATGTAATGAATTTGTCTATGATCGAACTATATTTGGACGAACATTTACAGAAGAAGCTGGCTATGTATGTTCTAAGGCAATAAAAAAAACATGGCTTTCAACAGCTTATGAAATTGGAGCGTAAAAAACGAACATTCTTTTATTTAAGTTGATAAATAAAATTTGAATATTATATTTAAATAGATTTGCAGTCTTAGTTACTGGATCAATTGCAGATAAAATTGGACGACGAAAAATGATTCAAATTTTAACTATTGGACTTTTTTCTATTACTGTTCTTACTCAAGCTCTTCTTCAATTTGTCAAAATGAATATCAATTCTAAGTAAATATAAAATCATCAAAATAAAGCAACTGTTTTCGTTTAAGATTTATTCTTTTATTTATCAATCAAGTTGTATCAGCTATCGATAGTTATTGTATAGCATTTCTTCTTTTAATGGAATTGACATCATCTACACATACAAGTTTTGCTTGTAGTCTTACATTAGTAGCATATACAATTGGAGAAGTTTTACTGACAATCTTTGCTTATGTATCACGTGATTGGCTTTTACTTAAATGGATAATTAGTATCTATTTTTCAATTTCACTTCCTTATCTTTATTTTGTTCCAGAATCACCTTATTGGTTATTAGCTCGAAAAAAATATCATGAACTTGAAATTTGTTTAAGAAAAATGGCAAAGATGAATGGACGTTCAGAAGATAGATGGTTATCTCTTTACAACCAATTAGTTGATGATACTCGTTTAACAGAAGCAACTACAAATGAAGGAAAACCAACGAAACGAAAATTTTTACGACATTTATCACGATTAGCTATTTGTGGTTTTATTGAATTTGTTACTATGTTATCATACACGAAAATTTCGTATAGATTAGCTGCAGCCAATGGAACTTTGAGTCCTTATTGGGATTTTATTATTGGAGCTGTTGTTGAAGCTATTGGATATTTAATTGCTGGTGCTTTAATTACGACACTTTTAGGAAGAAAATATTCATTAATTAGTTTCGCCACTCTTACATCAATTTGTGTATTTATTATTCCATTTATTATGAAATCATATCCTCTTGCTACTGTTATCGTTTCACAATTGGGTAAATTATCAGTTAGTAGCACTGTATGTGTTGCATGGATATATGTTCCTGAACTTTTTCCAACATCAATGCGAGGTTTAGCCAATGCTGTTTTTGTTTTTCTTGGTAGTTTCGGATCAATTTTAGCGCCAATTATTGATGAAGCACTCAGTGATAAATATGTTCGAATTCCATTTTATTTTTATTCAGGATTAATTATCGTATTAGTTCTTATTATTTGTACTCTTCCAGAAACACGAAATCATTCATTTGATGATGAAGAAGATCGTAATGACGTAACTCAAACTGGAGAAGCCAATATTCAAATGTAGATAAACATGATAGAAAGAGAAATCGATCACGTTATTAAACATGTTATGCTTGGATCTTTTTTATTTATCTGTAATGAATAGAAGCACAGAAGAGATTTTGATGTAATTTATTTCTACTATTAATGCTGATTTAATACTTTTTGAATAAAGGATGGTATCATTAAGAAGCAAAACTGACCTCCTGTCGGAATTCGATTTGCCTTTCGTATTCCATCATTTTGGTTGCGAAAAGTCAATTTCTATCGAAAACTGACTATTTAATACACTCCACGTGTACGTGGGTTGATTTAGTTACGCCTCTGTTGTCTTCTGTTGTTTATCTCATACAGCTTGATTACGTTACTTTTGACCATTTTGTTCAGTTTACTGTATTTCCTCTTAGCTTCAAAAAACAAGTAACATTCATCAACATTGCATGTTGATTCACTGGCCACCTAGACTGACGGATGATGACACAGATGACCCTTTGTTTTTTAGTAAAAATGAGCGTGTGGGTGTGGGTGTGGATATGGGTGGGGGTGTGTGGATGTGGGTGGGTAGGTGGGTGTGGGTATGGGGCTGGATGTTACTGTCCGTGTGGGCATGGGTTTGCGCTGAAAGAAGGAAAGGCCCACACGCACACGTTCGTACGGATCCCCATATCTATTCTGATACTCACGCCCACAATCTCACACGCGGATTCTATTACATTCGCACCCAAATTGACTAAGAAAGGCATGCCAAGATGATTAGTATTATCCATCTTTAGTTAGTTCAGAATTCAGCAAAGCTGAATGGTATTGTTGTAGGAATGTACTCCTTAATAGAAACTTTCGAATGATATTTGGATATTACATAGGAGAAATTTAAATGATCGCGTAACTGTAGAAGTATATTCATCATTCGTGTCTAGAAAAGAAGTTTGACGAACTTATCGAAGATATTTCATTGAGTCGCATAGAATAATGCTGATGTTGTTCGAAAGTCAACTGTAACAGCATTCAGTTTCATAATGAATGGAGCCGCGAACAATATTGACCCACAATAAGTGTTTGTCTTTCATAGAGTTTCGTGCATTAAAAATGCGAAGCAACTGAATTTTGTTTTCAGCCATT